AGCCTTAAGTAGTCACATGCTGGGCAATACCAGAATTGTCAGCCTGTCCAAGGCGGACTGCAGCAAGGTGCTCTTTTATACGGATATTCAGTTTCCGAGTGGTCTTTCCATTGTACACCTTGTCGCAGTCTCCTCACTGAACATTTCGTAGACAGCACTTAACATTTATTCAGGGCTATTAATGGGTATGTAGTTTTTATATAAAATGTCGATATTGTTCTACCAATCTTGTAGTAGACCCTAAACCCAATGTCATTAAGGCACTTCGTGATACGTTGAGATTCGTCTTAGATGAACGGTGAAATTGCCATTGGTATTGCCCAGCATGCGATTACGGACCAGTGTATCGGTTATGGACAAAGGCAGTCTAAATTGGGTCTGCTGATAAAGGAGTCCTTGATCATACAATGGCAATGAAATACCGGACGAGCATCGAATACACATCTTCTGTTGTCGTAATTGAAAGCTGGAATGCAATCACAGAACTGATGCGCAAAATCAGATCGAAATGACAAAGATCCGATTTATTTTGAGGTGATATTATAGTTTGTGAAGCACTGTCGTAGTAGTAACGCCTTATTACATTAGTTTGTTCAGACAGTAAAACAACGTCTTGACTTTGTGTGATGAGCCAGTTAAAAAGTAGGTATTGTTCGCCTGTTTGACATAAATGCCTTTGTACGGAGTCCAGTCATTTGTACGGAGTCCAGGCCTCATGATACTGCGGTCTGTGCAGTGAAAGCGTTGGCATTAAACGGATTACCATCTGCTGCGTTTGGCACCCCGAACCGTGAATGATTCAAACAACCATGAATCATTCAAACAACAGTCATTCAAACTTTTACTTGCAGTCTTATTACTTCTACTTAACTTAGTTCATCTTCAACGCTAGCGTTAAATGGAGTAATATGTAGGTATGTGTATATGCATGCATGCATGTATGTATGCGTAGGCCAAGTCTTAGTCTAAGATTTAAATGGAGGCTTCATTTTAGGCTTAGGATTTAGCCAAAACGTAGACCTGTTTGTTTGTATGCAAGTATGTATGTATATATGTAGGTACGTACGTATGTATGCATATATGTATATATGTATGTTTGTATACTTATGCTAAGTTGTACGTAGACGCTTAGGTTTAGGATTGGGCCAAGGCTAGTATGTATCGTCATAAGGCACCTTTCTGTGGACATATGCAATCACAGTTTATATTAACTCGAATGCAAGACAGGTGCAACAACGAGAATTCTTCTTTAACTCATTCGATTTGCGTCATTCTTCAGGAGGCGAGTAAAATCAATAACGTCGTCGACCAATCAGCGGTGTCGCTTTGGTACTTTCTACGAAAAACATTGATCGCTAGACGTTGATTTTAGTCGTCAATATAACAATTTGGCGTTAGTCTAGTTTTGATTTTGCGATATCTTGTTATGACTCGGTTATAATATTTCTTGTTTTTAACGTTAGTAAAGCTTTGCCTTTAGATCTACATCTTTTCGCATGTTCCTGTGAATTAGTCATCGGTTGTTTTGAAAAGAAATTTCTAAATGTCTCGCTGAGAAATCGCTCAGAGTTAATGGCTTTTGGCTGTTTCTTTATTGAGAGCATCTTTTAGCGTTGTCGGTAGGGTTGTGTACTTGTAGCGGCAACATCATGAACTTGAACCATCACTGCATGATGATTTTCCTTTGTCTTTGCGGATGATTATCGTATAAGAATAATATATCTTAATCGAAAGAAATAAGAATATTCATTCGAATTCACACTCAGTGACATTCGTACTGCTGGAGATATTACAATTTAAAACATGCTTCTCTTCTCCGATGCCATCGAAATACAGATGATGAAAAGACGACAATGTAATCGTGACAAGGATGATGAATATTCCATGATTAAAAACGTTTCTTCCCTTTTTGCTACGCGGTTGACTGCAAGTGCGAGGAAGCATCTCTTTATAAATAAAAATTTACGCCTATTTTTATAGGTTTACTAGCACACTTCTAATTTTCGACACCACTGGCAAGAAAATAAAATTTTCGATTGCAGACACAGTGCTCTTGCTTCAGACGTCCTAAGGAACCATTTAAGAAGGCCATGATTCAGTGGTATTTGAATACTTTCAGTGCATGGATGGAAAACCGCGTCACTGGGCAAGACCGAACAAAATCGAAAGCTAGCAGTTTGCTACGAAACCCAGTGTTTATTTTTATGCATGAACATGCGTACGAATAGTGGCATATCGGCAGGTATCCGAACAGGATTTTGTTCGACCCTGGCCAGAGATGCAGTTTTACATCCATTCACTGCAGGTGCTAAAATGCCAAGGAACTTAAGCCGGCGTAAATGGTCCCTAAGCCCTAGAAGCATGAGAACGATGCCTCTACGCCGTTTAAATCCGGCAGTAACAGAAGCGTCTCTTGGGTAAAACTGAAAAGAGTAGTTAATGAGTCTTAACTAAGTTAATATAAAATGAAATTGAAAAACTTTTTACGAACATATTTCCATCTCCTGCCGCTTCTTCGGACTCACACCGTATCGGGGCATCGTCCACTTGCTTCTAGTAGCGAACAGTGGTGTGCATTTTCGTCAAGGCACTGCGTAAGGAAGCATGAAACTGTCGCCTGCTTGAACCTTGGTACCCTAGGCTACCAGCAGCAGAAGGACTGTGTGACCATGCTGTATGAATACGGCGATATGGCATAAGATTGTTGTTCTGACCGACTGTATAGAAGACCAGCACTTTGCTACTAAACCTACGATACCGGGGTTAGTATGAATATTAAATTAATACTTAAGTGGTTTTAGGCACAAGGAAGCAGTCAAGTGGTAGTAGTAGATTTACCCTCAGTGTCTCACTGTTTGTCTTGAAGATAGCCAGTATAGTTTGGCGTTAACTTCGGCAGTTATAGTGAAGGCTACCACCTGTCTGTTAACTTGTTTAGAAGCACTGATGTTGCAGTGTACTGATGAAGCAAAAGAAGAAAAAATAAAAATGAGAAAAAATGAAAAAAACGAAGAGGCAGAAGAGGGAGAACTCTTCACGAAACTTTACCACCACGCTATCTTGAAGAAGGCTCGTGGGACTGACCGAAATGGCAGTATTGGTCAGTCACTGGACTGACCACAGCATCTTTTACGTTGTGTATATGGAAACGTTATACGTAATTTTTCAACATATTTAGTTAGTATATTGCATATACATTTTGTACAGATAAAATGGTATTTCTTGAAGCTATGGTTTGCAACTGTTGCAGACCAGATACTTGGCCACCATTCGATTCCACCGTACGAACGCCTTTTTATTCAGGGTTAAAACAAGTACCTAAAATATACAAAAGGTTTAAATGCAGTAGTATAAATCTCTAACGCGTAGAGTCGCTCCAACGTCACTGATCAGCACTTTTATCTTATGACTCTCACAGCCAGTTAGAGATATATTGCCGTATATCTGTTAATGTTATGCTGTATGGCGTGGACAATGAATTCTGTGTATTCTAGATGTTTATTGTTGATGGCTCTCTTGTACTCACTTATCTGAACTACAGAGGTCTTGAATGTCTTTCCGCTATAAACGTAGTTACATTCAGGCCTGGGTTCCGTCGGTGGAACGTCAATCTCAGAGGCCCCGTGTTCGAACCTCTAGCCGTTCTTCCTCCCGAGGTTAATAAATGAGTACCGCTCTGATAAATGAATGGGAAAGAAGTAGGAGATATACAGACGGTCGATGCTTGTCATATGGCTGCTGTTCACTCTGTCGTTAAAATAAAGCACTAGTGACTTTCTGAAAGTATAATTACTGGAATTCATTATGTGATGTAAGTGTAACGGGAACGACATTGCAGCTGTTTCGGTTACAAAGTTTCTTTGATTTATTTCAGTTGCATTTATTACAATCCATGCAATAAATGGATTTTTTACATGGCGTATAGCTGACGCTTATAAGATATAATGATGATGTCTCTGGAGACATGTTTATGTCCTTTAATTTCTTCAGAAACCTTCTTATCTATGTGCAGATATTCCACGGATGCAAAGAATGGTGACAAGATTATTACAGCTAATCAGTGAAGGTTGTCTTTGCTTTGGGTGATTAAAATTACGCAGGTAGTGTTTATAAGTGCATATTTAGATGCATAACGTCTTCATCCAGTTGTATTACTTACTTCAACAAATTGTTTAATGACGGGATAAAAAGAATATTCGGTTTCGTCCTTTCCGACGAGTTCAGACAACTGTTTTAAGCTTATGACAGAACACAGGTAACCTAGCAGTGTAGTATATTCTATTTAAGTTATCCACACCGGTATATTTTTGTGAATTTTAACAGGCCGTAGCTCTAGACTACTTAAGTATGAGCATTGCCTGCCCATGCGTCGCACGTTGCTCTTTTTGATAAAGTCGATTGTGACAAACACTGACAAACAAACAACAAAATACAGGGGTGGACAAATGGAACTTCTAAATGCAGCCTCTGTAATAATAGAATGGAAGCCGTGGGCAGCCTAAGATTTGCGCATGTCTCTTTTGAATTTCAAGCAATACGAGCAAACCTGTTGTGAAAAATTTTTCGCAGTGAGAAACAAATAATCTGATGCGCGTTTATCTAACCATGGACGAAATCTGCTGCTGGAGCATTTTTTCCGTTTCTCTTATCCTAAAGAAGCAATCGAAAATGCTTCCGGTACGAACTAACCCCTGATTATGCTAATTCTTTAAATCCAGGGTAAATATTATTGTTGAAAACTACGCTAAATTTTCCAGTTTTAACTCTGCTTTCGGTGTATGACTGGCTGGATGGACACGTAGCTTTCGAGGCTCTGCTTGTTTGTTAAACATTTTGTTTGACGATGCTTCTGTACCAGTGCCATTAATAAGTTATTGCATTTAGACTTGAGATTCATCACTGCCTATGCTTAGTCCCACTACAGTACCTGTTAAAAGAAAGAGAAGAGCAAAGTCAAAGACTGAGAACGTTTTGTCCAAACGGCATAGAAGAACTTTTTCATGGTAAGATATGTTTTAACTTGAATATCAATCCGCTTTTACAGCTGATCAGAATTTTAGCTCCTCCACCAGCCGAAAATGCGAAATCTGTGGAGCCGATTTGAAGAATGTCAGCAAAGTTGTGCTGAAAAATCATGGAGTAAGATTTCGTGTTTCCTATATGGGTTTGAAAACGAAACTAATTTACACAAGAACAGAAACAACTGTCATTACGATAGTACAGTTTTTAGCCTCTCGTTTAAAGCTGTTTTTTTGGCAATGAGTGTATTCATGTATTACTAAATTAATTGGAAATTATCTGCTTCATTAAAAGTAGTAGAGTCATAAAGTTTCGATGACGCAAACAACTGTTCGGTAGCTCAGACCTAAGCTGGACGTCGTATTTTTCATTTGCATAACTTACTTTACTTACTGGATCTGTCTGTATTTATCATATGGATTATAAACTCAGCTAAGATCAGAGTTGCTTTCAGGTCTGAAGGGACGATAAGGTCACTACTAACGAAGGTGAAAGACCGGATATCTCTTGAAGACGCAGGGAATGTAGTGTACCAGATCGACTGCCTAATTCTCAACCCACTAAACATTATGCAGACATCACTGCCATTGTGGATCTGAGTTGCTATGCACAAGCGAACTGTCGATCCGAAGGTTACGGACCAAAATTGCCACACAAAGCCATTTGTGGCACATTGCCTACGAAGTTGGTTTCGATCTCGAGCTCGGAAGGTACTGAGTTTGGTTCCTGCGCCAGGCGATCTTTGTCCTTTTCACGAATTTCTTTACGGGCTTGCCAAATGTTGCTTCACATCAGGGTTACTCAGTCTGTAAAGCATCAGACTCAGAATCGAGAGGCCCAGGGTTCGTGCCCAGGTCAGGGCAGAGTCACTCGCCCTTCTTTTTTTCTGAGGCTGATAAATCAGTACCATTCTGATAAGTGAATGGGAAGGAAAAATGAGGATACATTATACTCATAGAGCTGTTGTCGATGCTGTTTAAGAAATACGGTACTCCTGGCGGATAAAATGGAAACGAAGGTCATCTCATCGTCGCCATGACCACTGACGTCACGTAAACGAAGGTGCTAGAATTGGCTCCATCATGTAGGTTTTAGGAAGTTTCACACTACAACTTTTACCAGCTTTCTATTTCTTTTTATTTTGCGGGTCAAGAAGCATTGCGAAAGTTCTAAATAAGTTGTGAACCAGCCCATCGTCATATTACGACAGGACGTTATATCTATTGCGCGGCAACACGACTCCTTGCGATGGCATGGATCACTGAACTGGTCTTATTAGAATCGTTCATAATTCAGACCAAGGAAAATGCTGAGTCATACAGTGGGTTCGGGATATAAAAAGCACTGATTAGTATGATACATTAGTGAGTTGCAGGGTCAAAACCGTTTCGAATCAGTGTAGAGGAACAAAGAGCCATTTCGTTTGTCTCCGTAGAAAACGACGAGTTCGATAAGGCAGATGGTCAAGACTAGTCATACTGGTTAGAACTAGTAGTGCCATGCCATCGGAATGCTGAACTTTACTTATAAAACTAAAGAAGTCGATAAGTTTCATTACTTGACTGATGAAGGCAGCTGGAAACACCAGCTGAAACCTGGTTCCATTATAATAGGAATTAGTTATTTGTTAATATATCAACTAACGTTTCCCGTCGTTTTTCATGTCGCCTATGACGTAAGGTTTATTTGCATCGATAATACATATTTTGATTGTTGTTTTATATCGCCGGTCTGAACTGAACAACAAATTAGGTTCTGGGCTGACGCGAAATAACATTAAAAATAATGATTTCTGATTGAAACGCCGAACGCACGGTGTAAAGAAAGAAAAATCAATTTATCTCTGTAAATTAGCAGCTCATTGCACTGCCACATTGCTTCTAGACGCCTAGGGGAGCCATTTAAGCAATCCACAGCTCCACGGTGTTTAAGCACGGGCAGGACTGCGTCATAAACAATAATTAAGCATATTTATATTCAACGACGATTGCCATGATTCTTAGGCGACTGATTGACAAGATTTAACCCAGATGTTCTGGGAGACTTTTCGATACCGCTGCTGAAGAAATCACAAAAAATAATGATGCCGGTTTGAAACGGCGAAAATTCACAGTGTAAAGAAACAAAACTATATTTCTCACTTTGCGCCTGCATCATTATCAAATAGCGGCAAATACCTTGGAGCAGTGATCTGCTTAATGGGCCCCTCTAGGCATGTAGAAGCAAGGAGGCGGTGCAGTTGCGCTGCTGGAGTAAAATGAGAAACTGATTTTTCTTTTTTTCACTGCATTTTCACCGCTTCAATCCGGTATCATTTTTTTTAATGCGATACATTCAGCGGCGGTATTGAAAAGGCTCCCAGAATATCATGATTATATCTGGTCATTGATGCAAATTAATTTCACTCTATACCAGTATATGCGGAAATTTATTTCCTCAGATATCCTAACAGTTAATTCGTAACAGTTAATACTCCCTTAGTCGTTATTCTTTACCTGTTGGCATGCTAGTTCTAGCCACTCTCGCATTTTTGGCACAGTCTAGAATAAGCGGCCTTGCTGATGACGATTTATCTCCATATACCGTTTTTTGGTGATTTCTCGCCGACCTTAAGTATCCATTGTAGTTCTGACTCATTAACTAAATGATAATTTGCACTGTTTGACAACATTAATACGAAATGTATTATATATACATATGACAGTTTTCAACATTTCAAGCAATGCTATTTCTACCGTCCTTTTAATTCTTTCACACAAACTCCTTAAAGCTGTTTTTCTCACTAACTATAACGAGCATTAGGCTGTAATGGAGTATGAATCAGGTTGTGTTGTCATACTCATTATGTCTAAAACCCAGATGCCTGTGTCTGCAAGGCTAGCCACCCTGTTTTGACGCTTGTGGATAATTACTTAGAATTGAATGTACCGTACCCATGTCTTGTTCATTTAAGATTCATATTCGTTTTATTTTAGATAGACGATGAAACAAAGTTGTTGGAGGCGGCGTCACTGAAGATGTATCCTATTCCGCCCAACAGCAAGGCACGGTTGAAACTGACTAGCTTTGGGTAGAATTTCGAGTGGTGTTCACAAAAGTTTTGTCAGTTGAAGTTTTCTACATTAGTATTTTCGACGAATACAAGCACATGGTCCCACTTGACCGGGACCTGATATGCGGTAACCAGGGAAGAGGGAAGATTTTCTTCTTCGGCATCGTCAAGTCACTGGAATTGGAGGACACATCCGCAGAAGGTTGACATGCAGTAATGTCTAATAAAGCATCCTGACGTGGCAGTTAAGGTGGCATGTTTGTCAGATGCGTGGGACCGGTGGAGAACGTCCGATTCAGTGGCTTTGAGCCCCAAGAAAATCTAACCATATGGCTTTGTACAGGTGATGATTGCTTGTGCTGTCCAGTCTGATGAAACGGAGCTACGCGTAACCGTAAACGTTTCTAGCCTTGGCCGAGTACGTTCTTATGGTACCGTCCGCTCAGTACAGCAGGTTCTTTAGTGCCACTGCCGAACAATGTGCTTTAACCAAACGTTGTATAAACTTTCTCTTGAAAAATCCGACCGCTTCGCTGGAAAATCTTTCGATGTGCATAAAAGTAAATACATTTAATCTGATTAGTCATATGTGTATATCTGTTTTTACGTTGTTAGTTATACAGTACGTTGCCATCAGTGATGATTATTATACATTTGCGCAAGAAAGTACGCTGTACTCAATCGGTATCGAGGATGCACTTGTTTCGGGCTATTTCATACAGAATGAACTGAGCATTTCTCAAAAAATCAACCAATGAACACCAGAAGTCATTTGTAGATGACCGTTTTTCATTGTGTTATATTGTTTGAAAATATGATGAGGATGTCACAGAAAAGACGCGCTATGAGTACTGTCTTGGTAAGGCCACTGGGCCAACAGCTCGGGAGTAGACCTTGGACCATTCGGCTTGGTTATATACAAGAGCTGACATTGTCGTTCCTGATGAATCTAAGCCATTGAGCGTGTCCGTTTGGCGGCTGACGGGAGTCACAGAAAGGATATCCTGACCGAGCTGTCCCCACAACTAGAAAGAGATAGAAAACAATTAATTCAACAAGCGGATGCATGAGTGGATGAACCGAAAGTAGAACGGCATCTTTGAAATAAGGGATATATTTTTCCATGATTGATATTTACGTCCTGTGGGCTTTTTGATCTATAAGAAGGCCAGTTCGGCCATAAGCCCTGACTGAAGGATTAAGAGCGAAGACCTATAGTAATCTTCATCTTCATCTTCCATCGCCGCTTCTCCTTTCGGGTCGCAGATGCAGACGGGGTCAGACAAGGTTTCCAACGTTCCCGATCCTGTGCCAGAATCTAAACTTCGGCAGAAGACAACTGGAGTTTGGCACAGAGTCCTTCCATTTATTTGCACCAGGTTAATCTTGCCCGTCTTCTGGGCCTTCTGCCGGTCGGCTTCGCAACCTGTGGTAATCAACAAAGAAAAATGATCGAATCTTTTCCCGATGCTGTCTAGCCATTGAACAAAGGATGACTCCGCACTGACGAAATCTACAGACGGTCCGAAGCATGTGTAATGGTGTTGTGAGAAAATTGAAAGAAAATTATATCCTTGTTGCCACGCGGATGACTCAGACCTACGAAATGTGCAGTCAAGTTTCCCAAACTTGTGCTTTTAAATTGGCGTCCGTCTGAACGAAGGTGACTTCTGTAATTTCTTGGAACTCGCGAATTGCGCCTCATTTATAGCACGATTAATTCTATGGCGAAGTTACCAACAGATTATAACGTTTTTTTTGCATATTGAAAATAGCGTAATCCACGGTTTATTTATGCTCAACGCAAACTCATTCGAAAATCAGACCATCGTCTATTACCGGCGTTTCGGCCTCTATTTGACGGATCTTTTTCAGCGTAAAGAGATGATCTGACTTTTGAAGTTCTTTTCGATGTTTGTAGCCGTTGTAACTTTTAAAGCCAGAAGTCCAAACGTTGATGCTGTGAGTCATCTGATTAACCGTGTTTTATGTTGTTTTCAGTATGATCACATGAAATGTTGAATCTTCGTCATTTGCGGCCTGACCGCGAGAGTCCACAGAAACTGATCTAAAAACAACGTCTCACTCTGTCCAAAGTGTAGGTTATGTTTGTGCGTTTAGTAGTCTATATAGTGGGAATTATTTATCGATAACTTTCAGGCGCTTGAAGTTTATTAGTTCATCCACCCATTCTTCCTTTCATTCATTAACATCCATCCTTTAATCCATTCATCTATGTGCTCATTGATTCATTTACATACTTTCATTTAACCATTAATATTCATTCGTTTTTCGCTTTCAGATTCGTTCCATTTAGTCATTGTTGATTAATATTGTCTTTTTTAGTTTGTCATTCACTCTGCGGTAAACGAGCCAGGGGGGGCTGGTTGCGAGGAAATCTTTCTCCGAGTCAAATTATATACTTTAAGGTATTGTGTGATAAGATTTGTCAGTCGCTGAAATCTACTTTTCGATCCAAAACACTTTCTTCACTTTCCATCGCCTTACTGCAAATACGTTAACTAGGCCATTTTACTCCTAGATAAATTCGATCTTTATTCAGCTGATATTCAGTATGAAGTTGAGTTGAAATGGAATTTGTTGATGTTTTGCGGATCAAGATATGCAGCGTTTTTGTGATCGTTAATTTCACATATAACATTCTTCAGGATAATCATTCAGCCCTGTCTTGTGCTCTGTCTGATGCGTGGTACAAACATAGCGACTTCATATGTGATCAGGTATGATACTTGTTGTTCCCTGTATTTTTGGTGTGAACGTGAATTTTATTCAGTCTAAAAACACTTTTGATTAATGAACACCTTATCATTGCTAATTCTATTGATTAGTGACGTTCTGTTAGTCGAAGTAGTGTAAATATATTCATTTTTTAAATTTTGACTTCTGGATATGATATCTGACTAGGCATGTGGTGCAAAAAATTGTTCTGTTTTGGTGATATAGACGATCGTGAATTGCTTCGCTGCAACAGATGGGCTACCTCATTAGCTGGTTGATATGATAAGTGATTTTCTTCGACATTTCAGTAATCATATCATGGGCATTTTATTTTTGGAACAGATTGCTGAAGACTTGTGATTTCTCCCAGGTAAGCTTAACTGCAGCCTAACAAGCATCTGTGATACAGGACTTTTTTCTCGCTGATAGTCAGATCGGTCCATATAGACACGAGCCTTTCTATATAGGCGTTCTAGACCGACTGGTGCAGCAGAATTCTTTAGCTGTCTGAATAATTACATCGAATAGCTCGACTGTAGTTTTTCAAACTTTAGCATGACATCACCAAGGTATTCACAGGTCAGCTTGGTGTCAGTTGTATGGTGTGTTGCGCCGAAGTAGGGTTACAGAATTTGTTAGATTAGAGAATTAGCTGATAGTAAGAAAAATTCAGTACGGGTCTATTGATCGTATCGGCTGCATCAACTTGCTGAGCAGATGATTTGTCATTACGCTACTTTGCTCATGATATGAGTCGATAGAGAGTCAGACTTAGAACCAAAGGGCCACGGATTCGATCCTCGGTCAAGACACTGACCTTTGTTACCTCATTGAAAATTGAGCACCACTCCCTGGGAATTAAACTTCGCACTACGCTTGTCACATTGCATTAAAATAGCGCACTTTTGGCTAATGACATGGAAGTGGAGATCAGCGCTCCACCAACGATTTCATGAAAAATACGGCTTCAGAAATAACCTTATCTTGAAAGTGCAATGAAGAGGTTTACAAACAACTTATTTTCATTTTTCATATGAAGTGATTGCGTGGTAGATCAATAATCATTGATGATTTGAATTTTCTTTGTTCTTTTATTGCTTCATTTGATTTTCGATGACAGATCGCTGCGGGCCACTTTTCGGATGGCGGTGGAAGTTATGCAGTCGATTGTCCCTTCGTCAACCAGCTTAGAAACATCTCCCGATCGGCGCTCAGTGAAAAGTTTTAAACTTATAATTAATGAGATAATGAATTAACCTATTTCTGTATGTTAGAGTTTAGGGTAAATTTGCTGAAGGCGGCTGCGGCCCTGAAATGCGAGCCGGTGAAAAAAATGGAAACGTCTGGGGTTTCGGTTGTCCGCCAGGTGTTTTCTGACGAGTTGATGAGCCAGTTGTTTCAAAATCACGTGAAGACGGTGCAAAAGTTTTTGCATATTTCAGTTTGGAAGTTACAACTTTTAGAAATCAAAGAGAGGAAAACGGGCTGGTGGTGGTCAAAGTGAAACATTAGACAGGTACATTTTTTATGCTTACTTATCGACTGGTTCATAAATGTCTGAGCACTTTTCTAATACGTTGAGCTTAAGCTGAACCTATAAGCTTAAACAAGCTGGAATCCGGAGGACAAAGGACCTGTATTTCAGCCATACGTCGTCGCTCAGGCGACTTCGCAGCCATGGCGTTACATGTTTGAATCGCTTTCGATTTAGTGGCCTTAATTTCTTTCAGAGTTAATAAATAAGTACCACTTTGTGAGAATAAAACCGTGAAACTACATTCTATGCTTGCTGCGTACTTTATTAAAAATCTGACGAAGGTTATGCAATGCAGTTCATATTTTGAGGAAGCCAAAAGGGCCGATATATTTCTATTGAAATGAATGGAGACCATTGAAGATACCTACAAGACTCCGAGTTTAAAAGCTACGCAAATGCGGGAAGCAGTGTAACAGAAAAACTTTGCTCATTTGCATATGAAAAAATTTGTTACGCTACTTCACTGTTTTAAAGTACTTAAATAATGTGACATTTGTATGACGCATCTGGTACAAATGACCAGCAGATAAATGCTAATTGTTTGTTATTAAGTTTCAGCATTACGGCATATTCCACAAATTCCTTTTAAAAAGAGGTAACTTAAAAGATTCGACGAACTGCACCTCAAAATTGCTAATAATCTTTGCATGCAAATCTTTTCGTACGCTAAAATTAAATTTCACCTATCCAGGCTTACTAGTGGCGCATGAACCACGTTGCTAGTAAGTAAGAAGACGCGTTCTTTTGCAAAGAAGAGAACGAAAACTGCTGCGTTTGCTTATTCCATAATAACAAATTATGGCACTGCGTCTCTAATCACCTGGCATAAAAAATTCTATTCTAAAATAGTCTATCATGAAAGTCCATTGTAGGATTGAACATCTAAAGCAGAGGATAGTAGTCCAGCATCGTCACTCTGCCCATCGCACCTGAAATATGAAAAAAATGAATTCCAAGTCTCTCTTGATTTCATAGCCTACCTTACGACTGTTTCAAAGCTGTGATAAAGCGTCTAACAGTAAATACAGAAATTTCATTAGGACCACCTAGAAATAATTTTATCTATGGTCATTAGAATAAGGTAATCGTGATTTTTATTACTTTTGCTTTATTACCAGATTAGAAAGACCACTTGGCTAAAGATATACTTGTGAAGAAAATATTCATTTAGATAGAAGTTTGAGATTTTGATAAGCTGTAAAACAAACCACCACGTTATTAGACGACATTAGAACAGATTGGCGGTCATCAGAATCGAACTGGAACCAACCAGGTTACACCGTGGTTGCTCAATCGGTACAGCGTCTCACTCGTAGCTGAAGGATTCTAGTGTCGTCGGCGTCAGTCACCTTTCCTCCTTCCGAGGTTAACAAATCAGAAAGCCTTTGTGGGAAGGACGCACTAGATTACACTTCGTGGTGGCTACATGGCCGTAGGCCCGGGTTTGTTTAAAATAAGACACTTTCGGTTGATAGCATCCAAATCCAAATAACGATTGGCGCTATATAATAGGCTTCATGAAAAGAAAAAACAAACCAGAAACAGGGCCATCATAAAAATATGACCAAACCTGACGTTTCAACAGATACGATCTTCCTGTTTTCCTATCGTAGTTCAACCATATTGTGTGTCCAAAAGGAGAGGATAAATTGAACCAGTGATTGACATTCAACAACTGTTCTACATAGGCTCTCTAAGTCATGTTCTTCATTGCCGCCGTTCATCGACATACATCGACTGATACGTGAAACTGGGATGTCGAAACTTTCGACTCATCCGTCCAAAAGTCGGTGCAGTGATTTGTACGCGTGATAATCCGTGAATGGCCACTTTTCTACGCCTACCTTGACTACAACGAACAAACACGTGGCCATTTTTCCTTAGATAAAATCGTTAACAATCGAACAGCGCATCGATCAAGCTTATGATGATAGTCAGTTCTCAGAACGCATCAGACGATCCCCAGCGCTCTTATATTTGTCATCCTATCTACATACAAACAGTATTTTGTGTATCATTCTATTCATCTTCCATGACCGCTTCTTCTTTTGGGTCGCGGAGCAGTCAGACAGAGTTTCCAACATTCGTGATGCTGTGCCACAGTCTCAGCTTCGGCAGAACACAGCTGGAGTCTGGAATAGCCTTCTTCCGTATATTTGCACCAGGTTAATCTTGGCCATCCCCTGGGCCTTTTACCGGTGGGTTGGGCAAGAAATAATTGCTCAGTCTTCCTTCCTGGAGACATTCGCAACACATGCCCAAACCGCAGCTGCGACTTCTCAATCTAAAGATGCAGCGGCTGTACACTAAGGCTCTCACCGGTCTCTGTACTGCAGATCAAATCGACACGCGTTTGGCCGGCGACTCGTCTTAGAAAGGCTATTTCAGCTTCTTCTACCAGGGATTGAAGCTTTTCAGTCATCGCCTACGATTATTGAAGCATGGGGATAAAGATAGACTTGAATACCGAGAGCTTAATTTTCAGACTGAGCTCTGCTACTCGCAATGGTTCGGCTAATTCACGCAGAACGCCGGTCGGTCTCTTCCTCATATTTTCCACCAACAATAAACACGACCCCAAGCTTCTTGGCCTTCTTCACCTTTTGCACAACTTCTCCGTTAGTCTGAAGAGAACAACGAGCAGGAGAACGAGAAAGCACTGTGCGTTTCCATTTAGATACGTTCACACGTATGCCGGCTACTTCGCACTCGGCTGCGAACCCTTCCAGAAAGCGCTGTAGATCAGTTACAGAATGTCGCAACAAAACAAGGTGGTCTAAGAACAACAACCCTCTCGTCTCCACATCTTCTACAC